AGGGAAACAAGGGAGGTAGATAGCCAACAGAACATTCAAAAGGTGACATACCTGTGGATGCTACTGGGAGAGTATTATGGGAATACTCAATCCACGTGAGCTGTTGGCTCCAAGAGGCAGGATTGCGGGACGCCAGGCAGCGGAGAGCTCGCTCGAGATCCTGATTGGCTCGTTCACACTGTCCGTTGGTCTGGGGGTGAAAACCGGACGACAGACTCGTAGAGGCCCCGATCTGTCGACCAAACTCCTGCCAAAAACGGGAGACAAACTGGGGACCCCTATCAGAGACCACGTCAACCGGAAGACCATGGATCCGGAAGACGTGGTCAATTACCAGTTGGGCTGTCTCCTTGGCAAAGGGGAGTTTAGGTAGGGGCACGAAATGAACTGCCTTAGAGAAGCAATCCACCACCGTGAGAATAACGGTGTAGCCTCTTGAAGGGGGTAAGCCAGAGACAAAATCTAAGGCTATGTGTGACCAGGGACGAGAGGGAATGGGCAGCGGTTGGAGCAGACCAACGGAGGGACGGTTAGAGACCTTGTTCTGGGCACAGACAGAGCAAGCCAATACAAACTGCCTGACGTCCTGGCCCATAGAGGGCCACCAAAATCGCTGGCGGATGGCAGCCAGCGATCTCCTGACTCCTGGATGGCAGGCAACCCTAGATTCATGCCCCCACTGAAGGACCTCAGGGCGCAACACAGCCGGCATGAACAACCTACCTGCCGGACACTCAGCTGGCACTTCTACCCTTCGTCCGGCCTCCTCCACCCGTCTGACTAGTGGGCCTTGGCTTTTACAGGACACAACCGAGCAAAGTGGCCCGACCTCCCACAGTAGAGGCATAGACCCTGGACCAGCCTCTGTTGTCTTTCTTGAGCCGACAATCGAAGCCGCCCCAACTGCATGGGCTCAGGTTCAGCCAGAGAGGAAAGAGGTGGTGAGTGGCTCTTCAAAGGCTGGGGTTCCTCCAGCCCCCAGGACGAGCGGGGAGCCAAGCGTCGCTGACGCAAGCGAAGGCGGCTCTCAACTCGAGTAGCCAGATTGATAAAGCCCTCCAGGTCTTGGGGTAGGTCGTGGGCAGCAATCTCATCCTGGATTTCGAAGTTCAACCCCTCCCGAAACATAGCTCGCAGCGCCCCCTCATTCCAGTCGCAGGAAGCAGCTAATGTTTTAAACTGAATGGCATATTCAGTCACGGAACGGCCTCCTTGACGGAGCCGCACTAGTGTGGATGCTGCCTCATCTCCCCTAACAGAGCGATCAAACAGCCTTGTCATCTCACCTCGAAACTCCTCAAAATCCGTGCGAAAGTGGGCTCTAGCGTCCCAAACGGCAGTCCCCCACTCGCGAGCCTTTCCCGTCAGCAGTGTAATGACATAGGCAACCTTTAACCGTTCTGTAGCATATCGGCGTGGTTGCAGCGCGAACACCAGTGAACACTGAGATAAGAATGCCCGACATGAATTCGGATCTCCATCGTATAAGGGCGGGTTGTTGGCATGCGGCTCGGGTTCGCGGTGAGAAGGAGACAGGGGAACCGCTGTCGCGGAGGATGACAGAACGTCCTGCTGGAGTTCACGGAAGCGGCTGCTTAATTCCGCCACTTGGGCATTGAGGGTAGCAACCTCCTGAGTGGTGGATGAGAGCTGGCTAGCTTGATGCCCGAGGAGAGCTCCTTGATGAGCGATGGCCGATCTGACAAACTCCTCACCTGCTGGATCCATCTTGGTCAGTCCGTACTGTCAGAAACGAGACCGGGATCCAACAGCAGGTGAAAACAAAATCCAAGTTTTTTGAAACTGTGATAACAAAAAAGTTAATGAATCAGCCGGATAGCAAAACCCCAGCAAAAAGTCAGTTCAGATCAGCGCGGAGGTTAGACCAGCCGCGGTCGAGCCCGCGGGGAAGAGGGGCGGCGAGCCGGCACTAGAATGCTGCCAATGAATTCCAGGGGAGGTATCGAGCGTGGGCAGAGAGGAATAGGACGGAACTGCCGTGGAGAGACAGGCCTATGAGTAGCGAGAGCCAAGGACGGGAGCCGACCAGAGTTCTAGGGAGGCAGGAGGGTAGAAAGAGGAGGGTGACAAACACAGGAACGCCAGACCGACTAGACTAGAAAAAAAAATAAAATAAAAAACTGATTCAGACAAACACAGCATGGACAGAGACGATCTAAGCTGCTGCACAACATATTACGGACTGACACAAGATAGCATTCAAGAGGGCCAGATAAAGGGAAGAATAATGAGGACAAAACGAGGTGCAGGTGAGAAGGGAGAATTAGCTAACAGGGATAACGAGAGGGGCGGGGTGAACACCAGGATGACAGCAGAGCACATGGCAAGCCGTCAAAACAAAAGGCCATGTGCTCCATGATAACAAAGCCCAAGTAGACCCCACTGAAATCGTGACACTCTTCTCTCTATGCCACATTTATCCTTCCAAAAACACACACACACACGCACTTACTTTAGGTGTTTTGGCTCATTAACTCAGAGCTGCTGCAGCTGAAAAGGCCACACATGCTCACAGCAGGTTCCATCCACCGGAGAGAAAGAGAGAGAAAAGTGTTGGCATACAATTGCCAATGCAATTCACACTTCTCATTCCATCTGCTTAGGTCAGAACCACACAAAGAATTAAACACACAGCCAGATATATGTCATGGCTACACAAGAAAATTTAAGATGAGCCTATGGAATAGATTGGGATACAGTCCTGGTGACAAAGCCAACCTAAGGTGGTAACTGGTCTCCCAGCCTGGCCATGCTGGTCTATTTTGATGTTTCATATGGGTTTGGGGCAACTGTCAAGCTAAGGGACCAGCTAGACTAGCTCACACGTACCTCAAACCACCATTAAACTATTGTATCAAAACAGACTATCCTAACCATCTCAGAAAGGCTGGGAAATTCATAATAATGTTAGACTGAGGTAACCTATTTAAGGGGATAGTTCACCCAAAAATGAAAATTTGCTGTTAATTCACTCACCCTCAGGCCATCCAAGATTTAGGTGATTTTTTTCTTCGATAAAACAGTAAAGAAAATATTTAGCTGAAAGCGTGGTACTTGGTGATTCAGGTGTAGCTAATCACCTTATCAATGGCACACAAAGCCATTTGACTTTCAACTGTGATCAGCTGTGGTCATTTTGATTAGCTCAGCATGAAAAGAGCTTTCCTGGAGCATTTCAGGCATTGGTAGTGCAACGGAAGCAAACAATCATCTATGTGTGGCAAGGCACTGTCAAAAGATCTCTGGGATAAAGTTGTGGACAGGCACAAGTCAGGAGATGATACAAAAAAATGCAAAGGATTTATCAATGCCTAGAAACACAGAGAAGTCTATTATTAAGAAGTGGAAGGTATTTGGTACAACACCGACCCTCCCTGGATCAGGACGTCCAAACTGGATGAAAGAGCCAGGAGGAAACTGGTCAGAGAGGCGATCAAGAGGCCTACAGGAACTCTGAAGCAGTTGCAGGAATTTATGACAAAGAGTGGTCACTGTGCATGTGACAACAATATCACAAATTCTCCAAAAATGTGGCGGAGGGTTGCAAGAAAAAAGCCAGCCCTCAAGAAAGGCCACATGCACTCACGACTGAGCTTTGCCAAAACGCACCTTGAAGATTCTGAGGCAGATCAGACTAAAATGGAATTATTTGGCCTCAACACCAAACAATATGACTGGTCGAAATCCAATACAGCTCACCATCCAAATAACAGCATTCCTACAGAAAAGCATGGAGCTGGTCACTGATATCCTGTTATGGGAGTGTTTCTCTGCAGCAGGGACTGGAGCACTTGTCAGGATAAAAGGAAAAATGGATGGGGCAAAATACTGTACCATCAAATTCTTGAGGAAAATCTGATGCCCTCTGCCAGAAAGTTGTCAATGGGAAGAAGGTTTACCTTCCAACATGACAATGACCCAAAGCACACAGCAAAACTGACCACACAGTGGTTGAAGGAGAAAAAGGTGAATGTCCTTGCATGTCAGTCAGATCCCAGGCTTGAACATCATTGAAAATCTGTGGAATTACTTGAAGACTGCAGTCCACAAATGGTCACCATCAAATTTAACTGAACTTGAGTAGTTCTGCAAAGAAGAGTGGGCAAATATTGCAAGGTCTAGATGTGCAAATTTAGTAGAGACAAATCCCAACAGACTAAAGGCTGTAATTAATGCAAAAGGTGGTTCAACAAAATACTGACACAAGGGGATGATCCTTTTTCGAAATTCAGTGATTCTGGGTTTTTTTTTTGTTTTTTTTCCTGACATGGGGTTATAATCTTTCACTTTGGCTGCACTTACACTGGCACAAAAAATCTGAGTTTTTGCTCACATCTGACACAGATCGGAATTTGTTGCACATGTGTAAACACAAAAATCCGCACGAGATCTGATTTTTTCGCATCCGATCCGAGTCACTTCCAAATGTCGTTTTAAATCGTATCTGATATTTGGACATCCGATCTACGTCTAAACATACATATCCGATTCCCTGCAGAACTCCCATTGCGAGGCGACAGGTTTGCCCATAAAGATTGTGTTTTAATGCTGGTGTGCTGTATGCGCTCGCATTTTATTGATATAAAATCTTTATATAGATATGAAATTGTACATTCAGGAGCTGGTTTTCATATAGAAGAAATTAATGACAAATGTTTTTGAAACAAACAGTTGAAACAGTGCTTGCATTTTAATGCCTTGTATTTTCAGGGATTGCATTTTAAGGTTCTGAAATTTAACATAGTTGTTTATTTAAGCTGTGAATATTTCAATTCAAAATATTTCACACACATTTTCATAATTAAAAAATGTAATAATTCATATTCACCTTCCAGAATCCACTTCCCAAATATTCAATCCGTTTAAAAATACGATGTATAATATTCGACCGGCAAATTTCGGTCCATTTTATTTCACTTTACAAATTCGCTTCCATAAATACGGTGGTACAAATTCAGCAGAAAATTCGGCATTTCACATCCGGGAGCTGCAGGAATAGCAGTAGAGCACCAGAGCCATAGAGAGAGAGAGTTGCGACAACTCCGTTCACTCCAATGGACCAGTTTTTTACAGCAATGGCGGATCGTGGAGCCGCTCAATAGTTCCCGGAAGTTAGCGCTCATACTATCAGCGCCGTAGAGACGCAGCAGAAGAGACAGCTGTGATGAACTTTTAAAAGGTACGACATTTATAGAACAAAATTTTATATTATCAGCACAGCTAATCAAATTACCCTGTGCATTAAAACAGATTATTATTAGATTATTCCTCACTTAATTAGTAGATTTACGGGATGTTCTTCATTCTCTTCATGCAGCTTCATCCACCGTT